CTGTTCTTCTGCTTCTGAAGCAGCAATTGAACTCCTCAAAAATAAAAACAGATATATAATACAATCAGTGTCTTTCAGATAAATCAGACGTAGCCATGGTTACGGAAACATTTCAGATCTGTCGTCATAAAATCAGGGAAAATGACAACCTGGAATAATTAATTGCACAAGGGGGTGGATGTTGGAGGGTCTTAAGTCAGGGCAGGGTCTTGGTGTGCTCCAGTCCAATGCAGGGCTAAATTCATTTTTGCAAAATAGAACTTGATGGCTTGTTTTCTGGAATGGTCCACCCAAGCGTCTTAAATTTACATGGCAAGACTGTGTATTCAGGAAGTCTTAGAAGTTGCAAGTTTGGGAAATCTTTTCCTGCACCTGGCTAAGGTGTCATGGTGAGCACCGATGCAGATGGCTTTGTCTTATTCTTGAAGGAGTAGACTCTGTGGACGCCAGGCCATGGCAACTCCCATCTCCTATGAACACCAGTGGCTGGGAAACATGGGCATAACCATAAGGAGAGCCAGTGTGGTGTAGTGGTTAGAGCATGGGACTGGGACTCAGACGATCTGGGTTCTAGTCCCCGCTCAGCCATGGAGCCAACTGGGTGGCTTTGGGCCAGTCACAGACTCTCAGCCCAACCTGCCTCACAGGGTTCTTGTGGGGAGAAGATGGAGGAGGAGATGTAAGCTGCCTTGAGCCCTTTGCAGGAAAAAGGCAGGATATAAATAAATAAAATAACATGAGAAGAATGCCAGACAGCCAAAACAAAGTTGGATCCAGCAGAACTCCTCTTGACTCCTCTCCACAAACATTATAACAAATATCAGGCTGCATGGATGAAAGGCGAAGCAGCCTTGAAAAAAATAAAACAGAAATGAGAACACAGAACATAAGATTCTAGACATGCTGTCTGGGGGCATTAAAAATAACAAGGATTTTATTGTTAAAATCCAGGACCATCCAGGACCACTTTTAACCTGTACTGTCTTGGGAGCTCAGAGTGTCTATCAACATTGCAAACATGTGTACAAAACTTAGTCTGTAAGTATTTAATAACAAAATGGGGTTGATAAGGGAGACACACAGAGCAAGGGAAAAGAGACAAACTTTTGAGGGCAGGTGGATAGGATTTGGTGATGGAAAGGTAAGTGCAGACCAAACATGAGCGAGGGCAGTTTGATCCCCCTCCGCCTTGAAGGTTTAAGTATTAGGAGATGAAATTTTAGGTGGGTGAAAGGCATACTTTCTGGGGTTTGTGGGGACAAGAGGGCAGAAGAGACAGCTGAGGCAAAGGAGAAAAGATGGGGAATGTGCTGTTTGTGTGTGTCAAAGTTACTGGAACTGAAAGGGACTTAAGAAGACAGCAATGTAGAAAACCTACAGGCCTGTACAGGGGAAAGAAAAGGTACAGAAATTAGAAATAGATGGAGCAGTTACATGGGGGAGATGAAGAACATGGAGCAACTAGAAAGATAAAAAACAGGAAAAACACATATACTAAGGAGCATGGGTGAGCCGGGAGCTGAAAGCCAGCGGTTCTATTTGTGGGGCAGAGGCAGAACAGAAGGGAAAGAGTTGGGAGGAGGAGAACTAGGAATCAGCTGTGTGGTAGGGAAAGGACAACCATTTACCCAAAGTAGGGCTTAAGGTTGGGAACAATTCAGCAGCAAGGGGGGGGGGATCAAGGTCTGGCATTTATAGGGTAAGGCCCTCTTAGAGATGCACTGAGATGGGATGACGCTGCAGAAAAGGTGAGGCAGGACACCTAAAAGGCAGAAGGAGCCTTAAAAGAGCAGAGAGAACTGGCATTCAGTAAGGACAAGGGTCAGGTCCTTCACCTAGGAAAAAGAAACCAAAGAAACCAAATGTATCGGTACAAGATGGGGAATACGTGGCTCGACAGAACTGCAAAAGGCCTCAGAGTAATTGCAGGCAACGGACTAAATATGAGGCAACAACACGATGCAGCTGGCAAACTGGCAAGTGTTATTCTGGGATGCATTAATAGAAGTATTACTTCCAAACTGTGAGAAGTAGTTGTTTGCCTAAACCCCTCTCTACTCAGACCCCATCTGGACCAGTGTCTCCAGTTCAGGGCACCAAGATTTGGACACAGGCAAGATTTGGCGGGACAACTCCAGGCACTCTTGGATGAAACTGACTATCTGGACCCATTTCAGTTTGGCTTCAGACCCGGGTACGGTACTGAATCTGCCTTGGTCGCCCCGTACGATGACCTGTGCAGGGAGAGAGACAGGGGGAGTGTGTCCCTGTTGGTTCTTCTGGACCTCTCAGCAGCTTTCGATACCATTGATCATGGTGTCCTCCTGGATAGGCTGGCCGGGTTGGGAGTAGGAGGCTCTGCGTGGCGGTGGTCCCACTCCTACCTGGCCAGCCGATTCCAGAAGGTGGTGCTGGGGGACCATGGCTCTGCGCCACGGCAGCTATGTCATGGGGTTCTGCAGGGGCCCATTTTGTCCCCCTTGCTATTCCACATCTACATGAAACCGCTGGGAGAGGTCATCAGGAGGTGTGGGCTGCAGAGCCATCAGTACGCTGATGAGACCCAGCTCTACTTCTTGTTTGCATCTGCTCCAGGTGAGGCGGTGGCTGTACTGAGCCGAGCTAATGGGCTGGATGAGGGCCAAAAAACTGAGGCTCAATCCAGGTAAGACGGAGGTCCAGTTGGTGGGCAGTGCGGGTCCCCAGGTAGGTGATTTTGGCCCTGTCCTGGACGGGGTAGCGCTCCCTCTAAAGGATGGGGTCCGCAGCTTGGGAGTGCTCCTTGACCCGGATCTGTCCCTGGAGTTCCAGGTGGCAGCGGTGGCAAGGAGTGCTTTCTTACAACTTCGACTGATCCACCAGCTGCGTCCTTGCCTGGGTAAGCAGTGCCTAGCAACAGAGATACATGCTCTGGTAACTTCCCGCCTGCATTCCAGCAATGCGCTCTACGTGGGCTGCCCTTGAAAATGGTCCGGATATTTTGACTGGTGCAGAATCAAGCTGCCAGGCTGCCGACAGGGACCGGCCGTTGCTCTCACTTAACGCCGGTCCCCTACCAGCTCCACTGTCCCAGTTGAAGTCCGGGCCCAATTCAAGGTGCGGGAAACCTATAAAGCCCTAAGCGGCTTGGGACCAGGATACCTAAAGGACGGCCTCCTTCCTCATAAGCCCTCACACCCCCTAAGATCTGCAGGAGAAGCCCTGCTCCAGGAACGCTCTCTAAGAGAGGTAGAAAGACCATCAACTCGGAGCAGGGCCTTCTCTGTGGTGGCACCCAGACTCTGGAATGCGCTCCCCAGAGAGGTATGGCTGGCGCCGAGCTTATACTCTTTTTGGTGCCAGGTCAAAACCTTTTTATTTAAACAGTATTTAAAAATCAGCAACTTTTAACATGAGTCGTTCTTGTTTTGTGATATACTGTTTTGTTTTATATATTATTCTGTTTTAATTTTATTTATTAGAAATTGTCATGATTTTAATTGTTCTTTTAAACGTTGTATGCTGTCCTGAGATTTTTATACAATACGACAGCTTATAGAATCTTTTAATAGATAAATAATAAATAATAGTCAGATTTAAGGAAAATGGAGAAAAATTAGAAAGGGACAGAGAAGGGCAACAGAAATGAACCAGGGTGTCGAAACACTGCCATGTGAAGATGGAGAGAACTGGGCCTTGAGAAGAGAAGATTAAGAGGGGACATGCTGACCCAGTAAATGGCCCTGTGCCACAAGAGGAAGGTCATGATCTCTTTTTACTGATACCAGAGCGTGGGTGGCAGAATAATTAACTCAGGTTGCAGCATCTCTGATTTAAGTGAGATACAGGAAGAGCTTCTCTCCATCAGAGCAACATGACCTGCAGCCAGTTGCGCAGGGAAGCTGAGGGCTCTGCCCTGCAGCAGCCGTTCAAGGCTAAATGGGACAGTCATCTGAGCGGGTGGCACAAACAGCTAACCTGCGAGGGCGGGGGGCTGTACCAGGTGGGCTTCTCAGCCCCTTCCAACTCCACTATTCTATGAGCTGCTTCCCCCTCCCTGCTTATTCCATCCAGCTGCAAGAGCTGTCTAGGGGAGAAGCAAAAATGGGAATGGGGAGAAAAGGCAGCAGAGTTGATGGGTTGAATCCCCTATTCCAGGGGATATAGGGCAGCTACCCTGGAGGGGCGCGGAAAAAGCGATGGGGGTACAACCGTTACATGGCTGAATCATAGGGTGGAGGCAAAGGGGCAGCTGGACTGGCAGGGGATGAGCAAGGCAGGTGAACAGCATCTAGGGGAAGTGGCAAGCGGGGGAGGAAAGACCCTTGGGGCAGAGAAAATGGGGTGAGACTTGAGAGAGAGAACACAGGAAACCAGGAGAAAGGAGCAGCTATGGGGAAATAATAAAAGGAAGGCCCACCCATCCTAATGCCTGCAGTCAAAACAATAATTACTCGCCATTCAAGAGGTCAAAAATGCACAGTATGGCAATATACAGCAGCATTTTAAAAACAGTAATTAAAACTATAAAAGAGAATATTAATGTAATTATCTCCTGTTATTTTGACAGGGGGGACGTGTGGGCAAAACTGTGGGGCGAGAGGGTCAGCCTCACGGGAGGACGGGAACGGCAAGGGGCCCCTCCTCGCCCCCTCTTGCTCGTCAGCCCCCGCACCTCATGTGCGGGCAGGGCCGAGGGCCAAGAGGCGGCCCCCACAAAGGCCCGGGAGATACTCCCTCCCTCTCCTCTGCTCCTCGCGTCCCTGCAGAACGAGCGGGGCGGAGCCGTGGGGCGAAGAGGGCCGCCCCGCGGGCCCCCTCCGCCTGGCCCATGTGCGGGCCGGAGCGCGAGGAGAGCGCGAGGCCCGCGTGCTGCACCTGGCGCAGATGCGCGGCCCAGGTGCGGCGAAGGGGCGGGGGCGCCGCACCCGCCCGGCCCGGCCCGCCCGGCCCCCTCCCCGCCCCTCCCCTCCCCTCCCCGCCCGGCACTGCGGGCGCAGCGACGGCCCCGCCGCGCTCACCTGCTCCCACCGCGGGGGCCGCCGCAGACAGGCGTGGGCGGCCGCTCGGCGCCGCCGGACTCCGCCATCTTCCTCGGCCCGGCCGGCGGCCTCCCCGCCTCCGCCGCTGCGCCGGGGGCGGGACGCGGCGCGGCGGGGCGGGCGCCGCCGGGATGGTCCCGGGAAGGGCGGCGCGGAGGGGCCCCTCTGCGCCCTCGCGGCTCGCCGGCCTGGAGCCCGCGCGGGGCCAGGGAGGGTCTTTCCCGGTGCTGGAGCGAGTGCGCGGGCGGTGCAGGGTTCCAGTCCTCATGGCTCGGGGCAAGGGCTCGCGTGCACGTGCGGGCGTGTGTGTCTCCCCAGGTGGGGCAGCTGGGGGGAGCAGACCGCTGGACTAGGTAGCCCCTTGGTCCGACGCCTCCCGGGGTGGGTGGCTCTTCCCAGGCTCTTCTCCACCAGACACATTCCTACAATGCATAGTCTGCCTCAGTGCAGATGAACAGTGCAAAAGAATCGGCTGCTGCAAACACAGTGGAGCTCAGTGCTGGCGTGCAGATCCGTGTCTGTGTGCATGCTGCCAAGACCCTATCCCTGGGCGGACCAGGGGTTCATGGGCATGCCGCAGGCTGTGAGGCCTGGGAAGAGTGGAGGAGACCTGCCGGTTCTCCAGCCCTGAATTCTGTGCTGAGAAATAAGACGAGAACATGGTTCCTTTTGCAGAGGGTTGCTGTCTGGGCGGCCGGCCTGCGTGGGTGTGTGGTTGGATTCGCACTGACATCCGGACCTTGCAAAGGGCATTCATTAGGCTGCTTACAGAAATGGCGGAGCGGGTGGGGGGTTGGCCTGGTCCGGCAACCCTGTTGGGCTTTTAGGGCAGGCCCATCTGCCGTTGGCACAAGCGAAAGACGACAGCAGATCCTTCGCGTCTACAGGAAGGGAAACACCAAAAACAAACGGTTGTCAGCCTGCCTTGTTTTCTTGTCTGTGTCTCACAAAACGACTCTCTCGCCTAAGGGCATCCCTGTTTGTAAAAAGGACTGTCTGTACCCGGGAGAGCAGGGTGTGTGATTTCAGAAAAGACACTGAGGTAGGGGAAGCAGGTGTGAGCCAAGGGACTCACCAGAGTGGGTGGATATTGATTTATTTATTAGATTTATATCCCGCTTTTTTCTTACAAGGCACTCGTGGCTGACATTCTCCTCCTGCTCTGTCTTATCCCCACAACAACAGCCCTGTGAAGTAGGGCAGGGCGTGTGCCTGGGGCAGGCCCAAAATCACCCAGTTAGCTCCACGACTGAGTGGGGACCAGGAGCTCTTAACCGCTATCCCACACTGCCTCTCAGGACTATTTCAGGACTTCCAGCAGACATCTGGGTGGCTGCTTCCCAGAACTACTGCCAGACGCTCACTTAAGACCATCAGTCTCTTGTCCATCGAAGGCCCTTTCAAAAGTCACTGTTCCTTTGAAACATTATCACCTTTAGTGCCTGTCCCACACAGAAACATTTTACCTGACACGCACTGGAGTTTTGGTTCTCCCCTTCACTGGACTGCAGCTCCGAAGAGTTCTTCAAAAAGAAGTCTTCAGCTGAAAATTTGACATTCTTACCACCTTTGCAACCAACCAAGAAAGAGTCCTGGAAATCAAACCATCGAGAGCAAATGTATCTGAAAGTATGCCTCTTTCCCTTATAAATCAGCATGTGCTTTTATGTCCTGAAACATAAAGAGTGCCACCATCAAGAGGCCAGACTGGAGCAAGCACAAGGCAGGGCCTTCATGGTGGTGGCACTCCTTAAACAGCCCTCTTTCTACAGAACATCTTTCCCAAGGGAATCAGGCTATAAGTGCCTTCACTCTGCATTTTAGTAAGCTGCAAAGATGTTCCTGTTTTGTCCATTGTTTAATGACGGTGAACCAGGAGCTTGTGGTTCATCTCATGGTCATTTGTTTTGTTGCTCTATGCTTAGTTTATTGTCAAAACAGTGCATAAATTTTGTACTGGGCAGTGCCTTAAGGACGCTGCAGTCTAGAAACATTTCATTGAATTAATAAATACTCTTCTATATCTCTTCATTTATCATGGCCTTCATATTCAGTGGCTTCCTCATCTGGGCAGCCCCAAGGTTGGGTTTTTCAGTCCCTGGGGATAGACTTTTATTTGGCAATTGCCAAATTGCCAGTGTGGTGTCATGGTTAAGAGCATGGGACGGACTCAGGTGATCCAGGTTTGAGTCCCTGCTCAGCCATGGAGCCAACTGGGTGGCTTTGGGCCAGTCACAGATGCTCAGCCCAACCTACCTCACAGGGTTGTCGTGGGGATGAGATGGAGGAGGAGAATGATGTAAGCTGCCTTGAGCCCTTTGCAGGAAAAGGGCAGGATATAAATAAAAAAATAAATCAATTAATTAAATTGCTGTGCCTCATTCAGATAATTCTACTGGGGTGTTTCCAAACATTTGTAACTCATGGCTTCCCTCCACTTCTTCGTCCCTTTTTCTTCTCCCAGAAAATCCATTCAGAAGGGAAAGATGGAATACCTGCATAATGTCATTTTCCCTGTATGCCCTCCCACCCTTAAGATCTGCAGCAAGGCCCTGCTCCGGAAATCCTCCTTGAAGGAGGTCAGGAGAGAGAACACTCAGAGCAGGGCCTTCTCTGTGGTGGCGCCCTAGCTGTGGAATGTGCTCCCCAGAGAGGTTCGCCTGGCACCAATGTGATATGCTTTTCAGCACCAGGTCAAGACCTTTTTATTTACCCAGTATTTTAAAGTTTAAATATTTTTTAAACCTAAGCGTCCTCTCCCACCAGGCAGAGCCCACTCTTCCCCTTGGTATACACCTGAATTACGGGTGATGAAGCAGGTTGGGAGACGACTAGAGCGCAGGTGGAGGAAATCATGGGATGAATCTGACCGAACACGCTTATGAGCTCACTATCAAGCCTATGCTGTGGCGGCAAGGGCGGCGAAGAAGAAATTCTTCCCCACTTCCATTGCCTCCTCACAGTGCCGTCCAGCGGAGCTCTCTCGGGTGGTACAGGGGCTGGTACATCCAGGCCCTAAGAAAGATCCTGTGCCACCCTCGATGGCCCGCTGTGACGACTTTGCCCAGCACTTCAAGGGGAAAGTCGCTCGATTCGTCACGAGCTGGACTCCACTAGTGACTCAGATTCCTTAGGGGAGGTGCCAATGTCACTGGTCACACATTGTTGGATGAGTTTCAGTTGTTGCAACCTGATGATGTGGACAAGGTGCTTGGACAAGTAAGTCCCACCACCTGCTTGCTCGACCCTTGCCCTTCGTGGCTGCTGACCAAAGCCAAACATGGGATTGGTGCCTGGATCCTGGAGGTCATCAAAGCCTCTCTGAGGGACGGCCGGGTACCTGCCCCTCTAAAGGAGGCAGTGGTCAGGCCGGTCCTAAGAAGGCGTCTCTGGATCCAGAGATGGCCGCCAGTTATAGACGGGTGGCCAACATCCTGTTTCTGGGCAAGGTGCTGGAGCGGGTGGTGGCGGGACAACTCCAAGCTCTCTTGGATGAAACTGATGATCTGGACCCATTTCAGTCCGGCTTCAGACCTGGGTACGGTACTGAATCTGCCTTGGTCGCCCTGTACGATGACCTGTGCAGGGAGAGAGACAGGGGGAGTGTGTCCCTGTTGGTTCTCCTGCACCTCTCAGCAGCTTTCGATACCATCGACCATGGTGTCCTCCTGGATAGGCTGGCCGGGTTGGGAGTAGGAGGCTCTGCATGGCGGTGGTCCCACTCCTACCTGGCCAGCCGATTCCAGAAGGTGGTGCTGGGGGACCATGGCTCTGCGCCACGGCAGCTTTGCCATGAGTACCGCAGGGGTCCTTTTTGTCCCCCTTGCTATTCAACATCTACATGAAACCGCTGGGAGAGGTCATCGGGAGGTTTGGGCTGCGGAGTCGTCAGTACGCTGATGATACCCAGCTCTACCTCTCGTTCTCCACCAATCCAGGTGAGGCAGTGGCTGTGCTGAACTGGTGCCTGGCCGAGCTAATGGGCTGGATGAGGGCCAATAAACTGAAGCTGAATCCAGACAAGACGGGGGTCCTGTTTGTGGTGATTCGAGCTCCTGGGTAGGTGACTTGGGCCCTGTCCTGGACAGGGTAGCGCTCCCTCTAAAGGACAGGGTCTGCAACTTGGGAGTGCTCCTCAACCTGGGGTTGTCCTTGGAAGCCCAAGAGACAGCGGTGGTGAGGAGAACTTTCCTCCAGCTTTGGCTAATCTATCAGCTGCGTCCCTACCTGGAGGAGGATTACCTAGCGACAGTAACACACGCATTGGTTACTTCCCGGTTGGATTTCTTTAATGCGCTCTACATGGGGCTTTCCTTCAAGACGGTCCGGATACTTCCATTGGTCCAAAACAGAGCAGCCAGGATGCTGTCGGGGGCCAGCCATTATTCTCATATAACGCTGGTCCTCTGCCAGCTCTGCTGGCTTCCAGTTGAAGTCCAGGCCCAAATCAAGGTGCTGGTTATTTCCCATAAAGCCCTTAACGGCTTGGGACCCGGATACCTAAAGGAACACCTGCGTCCATATTTGCCCTCCCGCCCCCTGAGATTGGCAGTAGAGGCCCTCCTCCGGGAACCCTTCGTGAAAGACATTAGGAAACAGAGTGCCCGGAGCAGGGCCTTCTCTGTGGTGGCGCCCCGACTATGGAATGCACTCCCCAGAGAGGTCCACCTGGCACCATTATTGTATATTTTTCAGCGCCAGGTTAAGACCTTTTTATTTAATCAATATTTTAATATTGTATTTTATTGTTGTATTTTATTAACTTGCAGCCAGAGTGGGTTGCCAATTTACTTACATTGTAAGCCGTCCACAGATGCAAGTAATTGGACGGCATACAAATTTTATAAATAAATAAATATTTTAATTATGTTTTTATCCTCAGTTGTGTGTCATTATGATGTATTTATTAGGTGTTTTATATTGTAAGCCGTCCAGAGGTGAACCTTTATGGACAGGCTAGAAATACCCTAATGAATGAATGTCTTTTGACCCATAATGCAACAAAGAGGCTGAAGCCTGGAATCACTGTATAAACCAGCACCGAAACTTGTTTTCCCCTCTTCCTGCTGATCCCCTTTTCCTCTCATGCCGTGTCTTTTAGTTGGTAAGCCTGACAGGCAGAGACTGTCTTATTATTAATCTTTGTGAGCTGCTCTGGGAAAGTGTTTCGACTGAGGAAGGAGGTAAAAATGCTTTGGATGAACAAACCACTCCCCACTGTCCAAGCAATCTGGAGTCTCCACATGCAAAACACGTATTAGGTGACCCTTGCATTGGTCTCATAAAGAGTAGCGTCCACTCTGCGCAAGTATAAAAAGAAGACGGTCATGGGAATTCCCATCTGACGGTAAACAAACGCCAGAAAGCGGGGGAGGAGAGTACCAGTCCAAGGCTTTGTTTTACTCTTTGCCATCTCTCATTCCATCTGAATAATAGTTGCCTGCACCTTGCTTGAGCTTTACTATGGTAAACACACCCCACCTACTGGTACAGAATTTCTCTGGCACACACACACACATGCGAAACAGCCACCTACGCAACACCCACAGACACACGGGCTGTGCATGTAGCGCTGGCCTGAACCAAAGATGCTACATTGGGCAGGAGTCTGGAAAGGGGGAGCGAAAAAGCCTGGAAAGGGACCCCCAAAAAGCAGCAGGATGTTTGCTTGTTGCTTGCTCTCCTCACTCATCTGGCCAGGAGAGCAAAGGGAAATTGTGCAAGATCTCACTTGCCGGGACACTGGGGGGGACTGCAAGGGGAAGAACAACTGAGCCCCCTGTGTTGACCAGAGAAGAAGGTTCAAAACTAGGCCTGTGTGTTGATTTTGACTTCCCCACCCCCATTCCCTCTCCTTGGAAAGTGGATTTCCCCAGCCTCAGAGGGACACCCAGGGCTTTCTGTCATCAAAACATGGTCATAAATAAATAGGAAATACCTCCGTCTGCATTACTGGGCAGTGTAAAAATGTAATCAATGCTTTAATTAATTAGTCATGCTTTCCCACTGTGGGATAGCAGGAACAACACCCCCCCCCCCCCCCGCAGAACATTCCTTCTGCTCCCTTGGAGGTCAAGCCAGAGGCAAAGCAGACTGAAGGCATTTTTCTAATCTCCTTGCTGGGGGCTGGTCACAAGCCCCCCCCCCCCAAGGCCTCAGGAGTGAAGGAACCTTGGTCCTGGGCTGACCTACCAGGGTGCAGCTGGGCCCCCTGGGGCCAAAAAGTGGGTTTTCTACTTGGCTGTCCCGAGGAAGAGCTGGGCCTTGACTGTCATCATGTAAAAGCTTCCAAATGCAAGAATCCGTTTTGGAGAGGATAAATCCTTACCCTACAAAGTCCCCCCAGAAAAAAGAGAGGGCAAATCTTGCCACAAACCAAGATGGTCTCGGGTTTCCTAAGGCATGTGCTGCACAAGCCTTTTCCCCAACCTGGTACTTCACCTCTCATCCCGTCGGCATGGCTTCCAAATACACAAGAGATGTGCCATCCTTAATATTCCCACACACCCCTCCTTGATACTGAGAAAGGAACCTCCTGGACACAAGCAGAAGACTAGTGCAGAACAGTTTACGCCATCCTTTCCCTCCCTGTGCTGCTAGCTTTCTGCTTGCAGGGAGCATCATTTTCTTTCACTGCCAGGGATGTTGTCTATCAACACACTTTTATTTGCCCTCAAGAGCTTCCAGCTTGGCTTTCCTCCCCAACCCCAAATCAGTCTCAAATCCAGAAGCACACCTCACTTGCCCGCAGTCTGCTGGCTTCCTGCCCACTTCTCAAATCTTCCATTTCCGTCTTCAAAGCCAGCATGGCTTTTCTTGCCCCCATCTGGTTTTCTAGCCCCACTCATTCTGTCCTGGGCTGTTGGACCCAGCTCTCGTCCTTTCTTTCTCCTGCTGCCCCACACAACCACTGCCTTGGCTTCCTTCTAATCTCAGCTCTCCTTTTAGAAACACAGAAACAGAGCAAGTCAGAAGGGGTCCCCCAGGCCATCTAGTCTGACCCCGGCTCCAGCCGGCTCCACTCACGACATGCCCACCATGTGAATGTCCAGCTTGTCCTTGAACACCCGCACCGATGGGGCCTCAACCACCTCCGGTGGAAGCCCATTCCATACCCCAGGGATCCTGACTGTCAGGAAGTGCTTCCTGGCATCCAAATTGAACCTTGGTTCCTTTAGCTGGGCTCTGTTGGAGCACATCCTGCCCTCCTCTGCAGGGGAGAACAGTCTCTACCCACCTCTGTGTGACACCCCTTCACGTACCTGTATGTCACTAACAGATCTCCTCTGAGTCTCCTCTTCTCCAGGCTGAAGAGGCCCAGTTCCCTCAGTCTCGCCTCATACGGCATCCCCTGCAAACCAGCCACCAACCTTGTGGCCCTTCGCTGCACTGACTCCAACCTGGCTATACCCTTCTTGTAACGAGGGGCCCAGAACTGAGCACAATACTCCAGTTGCGGGTGCACCAGAGTTGTGGGGAGTAGCAGTAATACCTCCATCTAGCAGCGACGCTTCTGGCTGTGCAACCAAGGGTGGCGTTTGCCCTCTTGGCCACCGCATCACATGGCTGACTCATGTTCAGCCTGCAGTCAACCAGCACCCCGAGGTCCCTTTCACAAGTGCTGCTCTCCAGCCACTTGTCTCCTTATGACACCCATTCCTGTGTGCCAAGTGCAAGACCTTGCACTTATCCACATTGAACGCCACCCTGTTGTCTCCTGCCCACTTCCATAGTCTGTCCAGATACTTTTGGATCTGGAGTACCTGCTCCTCAGCTGTGGCCACTGCTCCAGTTTTAGTGTCGTCTGTGAATATGATCAGCAGACTGGTCACCCCTTCTTCCATGTCGCTGATGAAAAGATTGAACAGGATTGGGCCCGGGATAGGGCGACCCTGCGCGTTACCGACCACCATCCCGATGATTCCCCACTAATAGTTACCCTTTCCTTTTGGTTCATCAGCCATGCCCTAATCCATCGGACAGTGCACTGGTCTCCGCCAAAACTCCTCAGTTTCTCGGCCTGGAAATCATGGGGCACTTTGTCAAAGGCCTTGCTGAAATCCCGGTAAACCACATCCACTGCATCCCCTCCGTCCAGCCACCCCAAAAGCTTTTCTTGAAAGCCTTTGAGGCAAAAAGGGGCCATAGCGCAGGAAAAGGCCCCAACCAAAAGTCCAAAGAGCCACCTCCCAGTCAGTGCTGAACAGTTCCAGACAGGGTAGGCCGGTTTTTGCAAAACTGTATGCCCATAAACTGCAGTAAAATAATAACAGCCACCATAATGCAATAGTAACAGATATGCCTTTCCGGATGTGGCACATCTGTCTCAAGCAGAAAGGTGCATCTTAATTAAGAGGCACATTGTTCTTTCCTTAATGAATATGGGATGCCTCTGCTCGGAAGGAGCATCTGGCAACAGACAGGCAAGTCATCTGAAAGCAAAGGAACTACATCTTCCAAATTATTTACATGCAAATACATGCAGATTTCTATGCAAGTGATATGCAAGGCCAGGAATATTTTTACAAGCTGTTAACTTATTTAGTTGTATGTGCAAGGCTGTTCCAACCTCAAGTGCGCTGCGGGGAAAAAAGACCACGTAGCATTGAGTGGGTGGTGATCTTTTGAAAAAACAAAAAATCAACTTTATTTCCACCTTTGGATAGGTATGTATATAAATATCCATACCAGTTTTGTTCCACAGCTTTTATTTTATTTTTAAATTAATAAACTAAACAAAACATTTCTCTTCAACATTTCCAGGACAGACAAAAAGATTTATTAGAGATATATAGATAGCTAGATATAGGTGAATAGATATGGCATTTCAGCTTGCTCCACCTTAGTTGAACGGAGGTTCTCCAAAGTCCTCCAACGAAAAGGCTGTTAGAATAACCCTAACAGAATCAAAAGAGAACAAATGAAGCAGGCATTCTTTAGCTTTACACAACTGGGGATGTGCAAAAGCTCCGATGCAAGATAGACAAATGAAACTGAAAACACATTTTCCAACACGTTTCCTACATCAGATATGCCAGTAGGCATTAAAGAGTTAAGTGCTTTGAAAGTTCATAAAAAGTTATCGAAAGCAAAAGCGGGAAAAATTTGGCTCTCTTTTAAGGAGCAAAGTTCTTTCTGGTGAAAGCAAGAAAGCAACTTCATATCACAGCTTGAAGGAATCCCTTTTCTCAGCTATCTTGGGGGTTGAGACAGAGTTACAAAGGTTGGATTCAGACAACAGAGTGACTCGCACTCAAGGGCTGAGTATAGTTTGGTATTGAATCATGAGTCAGTGCTGAAATGTGAGTTATGTTGTCCGAACTTCTGCAAAGATAATAAACCGTGAACAACTCACAGCATGAGAACAAACCACAGCTTGCTTGCACAGGTGGGTTCAGACAACGTAACTCGTATTTCAACCACAAAGGGAGCTCACTCAGCCCTTGAGGTTGTCTGAACAGAGTCGAGAAACAGAATTAAGTTAAATCTATGTACAGAGAAGTGAGCGTCAGGCAGAACTTACAAGCAATCAAGCTGGTATGTGGCCGTTGGTGGTTGTTCTCTTCAACAACATCACAAGTGGTATACCAAGTTGGAAAGAAAATTGGGAACCAAATGGCCATCACTGCAATAAAACAAAACAAAACAAAACAAAACAAAACAAAACAGGAGAAAAACCGCCCAACAAACAAAATTCAACACACATTCAAGTGTTTGCCATCTGTTGGAACCCCATGAAGGGGATGAGACGCCTGAAGGGAGAAAGCTGAAGAATGCAAGTTTTCTGTGAACACATCCCGAGGTCTCAAGGTGTCCTGCATCCATTAATGGGTGTCTTGCATTTAAAAAAAAATTGGTGGGCTTGGCAAATATTTTGCTGCTCCTGCCAGGAGCTGAAACAAATAGGGGTGGTTGATGAAGTAAGAATACTTTACAGCAAGACTCACCCATAGGGACCAAATACTGCATTTTTATGCACTGGAAGTTCAGGCTTGAAGACAGACAGACCTGTGCTACCATCAAACCCATGTGGCACAAAAGAACAAGGACACACAAAGGTGGGGAAATGGGAGGCCAACTGTGGACGGGGAAGAGCCAAAAGGAGCAATGCCAGAGGTGCAGCTCCTGGGTTTTGGAAGGACTATGCTCATCAAAACCCATCTTCATCATCATTATTCAGAACAATGGCTTGTTATGCCATTTCCTCACACCTGATTGTGGAGTTGTGCAAACCTGGGGTGGGAGCAAAGGTTCCATTGGCCTCTTTTGCCCACACTTCTTTGCTTCAGAAATGCAGCACAAATTTGCCTCTCCAGTGGAGTTTAACAAACACCAGCAGCTGAATTGTGTGCCCCCAAAACCCAATGCTTCTTCCAGAATCTAGAACTCCTGAGAAGCCGCTGCTGTTTTTACATGCTCTGGCAATTTTTCCTTTTGGAACAACAAAGAAACTGAGTTCAGCACCTCTTCGAAGGGCACCCGGCCCCTGTTCACGCAAGCAGAAAGCAGGTTTTCCATTCTCCCAGCTATCTTTCCAGGTGGAAAAGCCAGCAACAAACTCTCTCTCTGCCCAACCTTGTGTGCAAGGGAAACAAATAGCTGCCCTTTACAAAAATTAACAAACCCCCAAATGAGCCCAAGACTCTGTCCTGGAGTTTATGTTGGAAATGTCCCAGTATAATAAATGTTGATTCATTAACGTAAAACAGAAAAGCAGAATCTGTGGATGCAATAACCAAGTTATTTGAACACAAAAGACCTTGAAACCCCACTCTTCTTCTCAAACCCAAGATGTTGTTGCTGGTGAAAATTTGAGGGTTCTGGCACAGCCCGCTGGGAGAGGCGGAACTCCAGAATGCCCTACCTGGATGACAGGTGACCAGATGAAGAGTTACAAATTGGAAGATCTGGGTGGGTTTGCAAGGGAGACTGCAAGAGGTAGGGTTGGTGGACGGAGGAAGAGGTTGATGGGGAATCGAGATGAGCTGGGGAAAAGGGTTCTTAGAGCACAGTGTTCTCTAAATCCACTTTGACTGGCAGTGGGTCAGCTTCCTCATTCTCATCTGCTGGGCAGAAGGCCACGGCGATGACAGGATGCAGTGCGTACGGCATTGGCACACCCACGTCGTCGAGGCATTCCTTATCTCCGTTGATGCTCAGGGGCTAGAAAGAAGGGACAAGGAGAGATGGGATGTTTTAAGAAGCTTGCTGGATTCAGACAACACAATAGTGCACAATTCAAGAGTTGTGTGTGTCATGGGCTGTCACCATGGATTCTAGTTTCTGCCACATTCACTGAACCTGGGCAGTGAACAAACTGTGGTTTGCTAACCACAAACAACAACCTATGATTTGCTGTTATGAACTGTGGTACTGTTCATGGGGTTTTCGTGGCAAGGGTACTGGGTTGCCATTTCCTTCTCCAGTGGATCAGCTTTTGTCAGAGCTCTCTGCTATGACCTGTCCATCTTGGGTGCCCCTGCATGGCATCCCTCCTTGCTTCATTGTGCTACACAAGCCCCTTCACCACGGCAAGGCCGCAATCCATGAAGGGAATCCTTATGGACCATCGGGAAGGCTGAGCGCCGAAGAATCGAGGCCTTTGGATTGTGGTGCTGGAGGAGACTCTGCAAGTCCCTTGGGCCGCAAGGCGATCAAACCATCAGTCCTGGAGGAGATCAACCCTGACTGCTCTTTAGAAGGCCACATCCTGAAGATGAAGCTCAAATGCTTTGGCCACCTGATGAGATGGAAGGACTCCCTGGAGAAGAGCCTGATGCTGGGGACGATGGAGGGCAAAAGAAGGAGGGGACGGCAGAGGATGAGGTGGCTGGATGGGGTCACTGAAGCAGTCGGCGTGAGCTTGGGTGGACTCCGGGGGATGGTGGAGGACAGGAGGGCCTGGAGGAATGTTGCCCATGGGGTCACGATGGGTCGGGCACAACTCTGCAACTAAACAAACAATATGAACTGTGGGCTGTTGATGAGTGAGCAACCACAGTTTGTTAGTTTGACTGGGTCTGAACAATGCGATAACCCATGGATGGCAGCAATCTACACTCAACTGCTGAACAGGAGTTTTTTGTGTTGGTTGAAGGGAGGCAGTGTACTAACATTGCCATTGAGGGTAGTGAAAGACGTGGGAATTTTTAGCCAGGGGAAGAGTCGATTTTAAAGGCAACAGGGATGTCACCTAATAGCTCTGAAGAGACGCCAAAGAGATGGGGTGAGTTTGTGCTGTGTTGCCCCCAGGCCAGGGAGCACAACCTCCTCCCACCCAAGGGCCATGTTCCATTTCAGAGAAGCTTTCGGGGGCCAAATTCCAGGGGGGGGGGGCAAAGGACATGCAAAATATCCAGCACTTTTTTTTTACAGCTCTTCCTTCCGGGAGCTAAGACTAAGTATCAGGTATTTTAGGAACCCCAGCAAAGAGTCAGTGGGGCACAGCTGCCAAGCGAATGCAGCAGGGCTGGTGCCTCCCCATACCTGCGTCTTGACGTGCTGATCCGGCGCCGTCACGAGGCTGGCGCAACTCAGCCACAGCATCACCATGACGGACAGGAAGAGACAAGCTGCCAGGATCCAGCGGGGCAGCCCAGAACGCCTGTAACACCCAGAAGCCCAAGACAGAAGAGCCGGTTACCGCTGCTCCCGGCAATGCAGGATGCTCCCAACCAACTGGAAGGGCCAGTGTGGGTGGGAAGATGTGGGTCTGTCCAGGCAGGGTGGGCATCCACCCTCTGGGGCTGGACAAACCCCCCAGGATGGAAGGTCTTCCTTTTCCAGTGTACTTATGGCAGCACTTAAGCCTATTGAACAACAATTTGCACCCATTTTAATTTACTAACTTAAATTGTATTGTTGCTGATGATTCATTTTTTTAAAATCTCGTGTATTTTAATTGTGTTATTTTATTTACCTAATGGTAATTTCATTATAATGGCTGCCCAGAGTGCATAATGCTAATGGGCGAGCTTTAAACAAATTTAATAACAATCAAACAAATAAATATCTGGAATTACTTGCTTCAAAAACAGTATGGATGGAGAGGGGTGGGGATATAGGACCGGAAGGCATTTTTCTCCTCGTCTCATAAGATCAGAGCCCAAATGGGTGGGGAATTGTGCTCAGGTGGAAAGACCCGCATCTTCACACAGCTCAGAGTTGAACTGTGGCTGTCACTTCCCTGAGCTGCCATGAGGACCACTAATTTGGACGACTTGGAAAGGAAGCCAGGCAAATTCTTGGCTCCGTGGCGACTAGTCCTCATGACTCGTCCTCAGTGCTCTTTCCAGTACGGAAACTGATTTTCTCTTTCCAGTGGGATCCTGTTTACAGGTAGCGCCACTCACAAGGAAGGGGCTCTGTCCCGAGTTCCTCCTGCGCCCGCCGTGGCCTGGTACTCTGGGAGTGTCCCCTCCCTGCCTTCCCCACGATCCTCAGCTATTTCCCCCGACCGCTCAGTTCACAGCTCAAGACTGACCGGCCCGCACCCCCTGCTGTCTTACTTGGACATGCAGCCGAGGAAGTCATGCTCGGGGGACCCCTGGGGCTCTGCGGGGAGCTGGACTTTGCTTCTGGCTCTGAGCACTTCCATGGGGGGCCTGTTCAGTCTCTCCTGAAGACCTGAGGAGGCAAACAGAGCGCTGCTAGTTTTCTGTGGGAGAGGAAAGGCAAAAAGGCGGAAAAAGAAGCAAAGGCATCAAGGGACCCTCTTGAGAGCTGGCCAATGGGAACAGAATTCGATGGCCTTTGTATCTGGCAGGTTCTTGTGCCCCTCTTACAATCAGGGTGTGGTTCCAACCATGAGGACTAGAATCTTCCATTACCTTTTAGGGAAAAACCTTAGCAGGACTGCCTGGTGCCTGCTTAATTTTATCAAGCAGCTCTGCTTAATATTTCTGTGTTTGAAAGGTTTTTAACCTGCTGTTCAAGGCACACTCCCCTCAAAAGTGAACTTTCAATATTAGCAAGGGGTTGGAGACCCTTCCAGCCCAGTGTCCTAACTCCCACATTGGACAGCTAGCATGAGGAGGACCAAGGTCTAACTATATTTGAGGGAAAAAGCACTCATGGGCCAGCCCCTGCTTCATATAGGGTGGCGCCCGGTCCCACCCCCAGGCCAGGAAAGGCCTCTGCCTGAAACCCTGGTGGGCTTCTGCCAGTCAATGTAGGCTACACTGAGGATCTGACTCCATTCCAGGCAGCTTCCTGTGTTCCAGACTTTTATTCAAAACCATGAGGACTGGAAACTTGCTTTGTTTTCAAGGAAAACGACCATTGCTCTATGGAAGAACTTTGCGTGCTAAAAGGTCCAAAGACAAACCGTTGCACCTCCGAGCTGTGCAGGAAAAACCCTTGGCCCAAAGCCCAGTAAGCTGCTGCCAGCCTGTACAGACAAGACTGAACTGGATGGACTGATAAGACTGTTTTGTTCTGCTCCACTTCGCCAGCGTCCAACCTACTTGCTGCTGCATGGGCTTGTGCGGAGCACTGGCCGCAGGCCCCTCCTGAACCTTCCGATTTCTGTTTTTTAAATAATTCTTTATGTTTAGCCGCATGAGCATCCCACATTTATTACACCCCAGAATTCAAGACAATAAAAGTGGGTCAGCTGAAGTCTCTCGATCCCCAGTCTGCCGAGATCCAGATGACTTTGCATCAAAAGAGGGCTGGATTTGGGGAGAGGGAGGGTTTGTCATCATTTGAAAGGCATGGCCAATTTTCTGCTTTCCTTTTTCACTTGCTTTGAAATTTTCCTTTCTTCATCCCTTCTGATGTCTTCCCCTTCCTTTGGTCTTCTCTCAGTCATTTCCCTTCCTTCCTTCCTTCCGTCCCTCTTTCCTTTTCCTTCCCTTCCTCCTGAGTTTCGTTTCTTTCGTAATGCCCACCCTTCCTCTGATTCTTCTTTCCCCTCCCTCTTTCCTGTTTCCTCTTTCTTCTTAGGGGAAAAAGTTCTTTTGGGTGGGTGGAGATGGATGCCGCTGCCTTCAAGGGACAAGGGACTCGTACCAGCTCAGGGAAGCTAACGATAAATTCGGAGCTCTTCACAGGATCTCCAAATGCACAGCAGCACTCAAGATTCCTAACACCAGAGAGCCGAAAGCTACAACAAGGGCCATCCGTTCTTGCTACGTGGCTCTGCCAAAAAAGCCCCCAATTCACAGATGAAGGATGGCCCATTTGAAGCAGCTGGGCCCTCCGCCAAATCAGTCCGCCCACCCAGAAACTCCTTCTAATGTCTAGCTGAAATTCTCCGTCATGCCATTTGAACCCAAGCCTGGATTCTCATAGAATCACAGAAGAGTTGGAAGGGGCCCTGAAGGCCACTGAGTCCAACCCCCTGCTGTTGCAGGACACCACGTTACACCACCCCACTCAGGTGGCCGCCCAGCTTCTTTTTGAATGTGCCCAGTGTGGGAGAGCCCCCCACCTCTCCAGGCAGCTGGTCCCACTGTCTATTGCTCTGACCATGAGGAAGCTTTTCCTGATGTCCAGCCTGAATCTGGGTTGTCGCAACTTGGAACTGATTCTTCTGTGTCCTGCACTCTGGCATACGCAAGAAGAGATCTTGACCTTCCTCTTTGTGACAGCCTTGGAGGTGCTTGTAGGCAGAAAACATGTCCCCCCTCAGCTCTTCCTGTGTTTCCCTTTATGTCATGTACTTTACCTATGTGAGGTTTCAGGGTGTTCGAGGTGAAATCTGCCCAGGCTCTCTCTGACACCTCTGACTTGGGTGCCTGGACCTCTAGAACGGGGTATTCCACCTCCGGTTGTGACTAAGGAGAAAAAGACGACAAAGCAACTGAGTTCGGTCGTCAGAGCTGCTGAGTTGCCAGCCACTCAAACGGAGGCCGCCAAGCTATGGAGACCAAAGACATCAGGCCGGACGTGAGCGATACTCTCCCACACGAGCTGATGCTTCAGCTCTAGAGAACCTTCCCCATTCCAAGCACCAAGACCTGCGGGAGCAGGGCCCAGAGAATTTTGGTGAGCCCCTCTGTTCAAATTTGTCAGAGTACTTTATTCTTAATTGTCATCAGTATTACTGCTGACGAAGGGGTGTGCAAACAAGCCAAAAGCGAACTTCTCTTGGCTCAAGCCATCTCCTGTCTTTTACCATTTCCTTTTGATGCACATTTTCTGCACACGTTTTTCTAAGCACACATACCAATGGTATGCTCAAAGGTAGATCTTGGTGCTGGAGTGCCTCTGGGGCCGGAGTGCCGGAGGTCAGACTGGATGGCCTGGGAAGCCCCTTCTGACTCACTCCGTTTCTTTGTTCTTTCCATGCAGATTAATTACTCAAATGTGAAAATGCGGCAAAATGAATCTTATAGAGGAGGCCCTGCAGTTTGTATTTCAAGCTCAGAAATCCAGGCCTGTTGACTACAACATGGCAATCAAGTCTGTTTGGTCCTTTAAGTGAAAATGGGTCAATTTGGATTTTAAAAGCCCATGCTGAAACTTTTTCCCCAAACATCCCAAGTTAATGATAGAGTGTTTTAAACTAGCAAAACATTTATAAACCTACAAAGCAAGCAATTGCCAGGAGGTTTGGGGTTCATTTTAGGTTTTAGCTTACAAATTTTCCATAACATTCATGTGTTAAGGATGCAATGTTGTCCTGAAAGCACAGAATTTTGTATAGAGCATTCCCAAATCTACACATTTCTATATATAGGTTTTGAGCTTAAGAATGCAGAGCAATTTAAATTCTCCGCAATCATATCCCCCTCAATCACCTGAAACACCACTACTTTTCCATCATCTGCCTGTAAGTAAAAGGTCCATGTGGAAGAGATGAAGCTCTGGGCGGAGCTGACAATATCGTTGCAGAAACTGGAGACCAGATCAAAGACAGAGAACAAGGCGGGTTTCTGGTCCTGAACCTGTTAAACGGCAAAATGAAATTGGGAGAAGGAACAAGTTTGTTGGTGCCTTCTGATTCCCTTTCCTAATTCGAAACTGCTATTGAAATGGTCACCTCTGGTGAGCCTGAATAAATTCCAGGTAATCAAACCAGAAAACTCTCTGCAACCTGTGGGAAAAAATAGACAGTTGTCTCTCCCTTTTGCCTATCAAGTCAGCTAAAAAAAATGCTGATTAAAGGGACTACATATCCCAGTGCAGCACTCCCCTGGGTATAAGATCTGGAGAAGCAAAAGAGATAGTTTGGGATGTTTAATCCCAGCTTGCAGGTTTCCTGAGGAATCTGATTTGGTGGAAGTTTACGCTCCCAGTCCATTTCTTGCTGCTGATTATTATCTGTGAGCTGCCCCGAGGCTTTGTTGCGATGGGGGCAGCATAGAAACATTTTAAATAAAATGAATAAATAAATTATGAAAAATAAAATAAATGCTTGGATTTTTATACTGCCTTTCTGAAACCCATCTACCAGGTGTAAAATGACAACAGCCATATTTCTTTACTGCTTTTCTGAATCCATTCAGTGGTTTGAAACAATTTTCAGCTTAATAACAATAAAGAGGAGGCCAGGGTCCAGAACTCTTCCCTTTTCACTAAAAGGGCAAGGAAATGTTACCTTTTTCTCTTTGTTCTTCACCTTCATGTCTGGCAGCTGCTTTCGGCAGCCCGTTATGCAACCAAATTGCCCTTCACGACCTGTGTATGCTTCCATGCAGGCTGCATGGTCCAAGAAAAAGAAAAAGAGAAAGAGTGAGAAAAGGACATTCAGATAGGAGCAGACAAAACCTGTGCAATGTAGCTTGCTTTTGCTTTGCTGGGAGCACAAACACATTTGTGGAATCCCCTTTCACAGGAGGCTGCAGTGCCTTTCCACAAGTCTGTGCAAGCCAGCTTGACGGTGATGGCAATACAGTGGCGATACTTCATGAAGCCTCCACAGTCAGGAGCAGTGTACCTCTGAAAGGGATATGGGAATGGAGTGGGGGGCTATATGCCAGCCTATCTTTGCCTCACACGCTTCTTATTGGGTGCTAAGGCCCAGGAGAGGGGTTCCAAATTTTTAGCCTAGGGACAAAACTGCAAAAGCGAAGAAGGCACTGAGTGATCTCAGTGGCTCAGGAAAGGGGGTGCAGGTAGTTCTGGGAACTCGAATAGGTCAAGAGTTGGCTCTGAAATTTTGCACCCCTGGACTAGCTAGACCTTTGGTCCAAGACAGACTGAAACCAAGGTGGAATTGATTATTTTCGAGCAGGAAGCTGCTGCGGAAGCAGCTCATCCCAGGAAGCTGGCTGACCACTGTCAGAAGCAGGGTACTGGGCTAGATGGGCCTTAAGTGGGGCTCTTCTTACACCTACAACTCAGCCTGGTTTGCAGGAACGAAGCCAGTGGGGCCAAGCCCTGTCTACTTACCGGGGCAGAATTTATTTTATTTTTAAAAACTTGCCTCTAGCAAGCTGTGCTAAAGGCAAGGAGTGGGGAAGCTAAGCCATTCCACCAGCCTTGCTGAAATTATTAAGGCTGTAATCCAATGCATGTTTAGACAGGAAAGCTATCTTCTCTCTACATATGCATTGAATTGAATCTTCCTCTTCCCTCCCACTGCCTGAAATATTTTTATTAGCATCATGCTATGGTCCTTTTTAATTGTTTTTATAGATGTCCAATTTATTATGTTTTAATTGGCTTTAGTGCGTTTGTACTATTGGTATGTTTTACATTTGTAAGCCACCTAGGAAAGCCCTGGCAATTATAGGCGGCCTATAAATATAAATAAATTAATAAAATCATTATTATAACTTTGATGTCTCAGCTTTTTTTTCCACTTGCAATGAACCCAAGGTGGCTGACAAGATCTGTCCCTCTCCATTTGATCCTCACAACACCCCTGTGAGGTAGACAAGGCCGAGAATCCAGGACCTGTGCAAAGTCACCTGCTGGGTTTTGGGACTGAGTGGGGACTAAGGAAGGCTCCCAAAATGAGGACCATTCAGGAAACTGGAGGTTTTCTTGCTCCAGCATTGTACCTGCTTTTGGAAAGTGGAGGCTGGGGGGATCGTTTGGGGAGGGGGGCGAGGGGAAGGCTGGTCTGTCCCCACCTGCACTTTTCCTGTCTCTGGGAATCCGTTGCAGGAGCTCCGAAAAAGCAAAGGAGATGACAGCGCTAAGTGGAAGAGAGGAGCTCTGGATAGTGTAACTGGGTATGCAGCAGCCACTGTGGAGGGAGGTTGGGGGTCTAAAGGAGAGAGGAGGATGGGAAGCCATGGGGAGGGGGCCCCAAGCAGACGCTGGTCCTACCAGATTCGCACTGGGCTCTGGTTGCATTCAGCTCGGCCGTGGCGTCCACAAAATGACAGATGGAAAACAGCCGGCAGCCGCGATAACAGGCGTTGAGAACCTCATCCTGGAGGGGGAAAGGAAATTGGGGAGGGGGGGTGGATGGAAAGGTATGGTTAGAGCAGCATTCCCTCGCACACAGAAACATACAGGACGAGACACGCAATTCCTTGGAGACGACTGCCACGATCCCAAACTGTTCTCAGCCCTCCGGAGGTGCTACACCACAGCTCCCATCATCCCCAGTCAGTGGACAGGCCCTAGCTGGGAAAGACTGCTGTGAGGGTGCTCCAGCTGGGGCTGGACACAGGATACTTGGAGAACCACCGAAAGTTACGGCTGGAAGGTTCCTTAGAGAGCATGTAGTCCAACCCCAGACTGGGCACAGAATCTGTCGTGCCCAGAATCTGCTGAATGGCACCCAGCCCAGCTGCCCCCCAGGGCAGGAGAAATCTCCACCTCCCCCGTGATGATCTATTCCCCTGTCCAGGAAGTTTGTCCGAAAGTTTAGCCAAAATCTGTCTCCCACCCCCTGTAATTTCCACGCACCAGTTGTAGTCCTGTTTTCCGCACTGAAAGGGATATTTTGCTATACCATGCATGTATTTATTTACCATATTCATAACCCACCTTTTTTTCCTTTCAAGGAATGAAAGGTGGCTTACTTAAGTCTCCTTTTCTGTCTGTCTTATCCTGACAACAACAACCCTGTGAGGTTGGGCTTAGAGTATGTAGCTGGCCCAAATTCACCCGGTGAGCTCCATGGCTGCGTTGGCCCCCGACTCCCGATTTCCTTCTTCCCAGTTCTGCATTATGGACCTGATGTGCTAAGGGATGCCGAGATGCAGGAAAATTAGAAAGGATCCAGAGCAGGGCAACAAAAATGATCCAGGGTTTGGAAACACTGCGCTGTGTGGAGAGAAGGAAAGAACTGGGCAGGTTCAGCCTTGAGAAGAGAAGACGGAGGGGGGTCATGACATCCCTCTATAACTCCTTCAAAGGCTATCACAGAGAGGAAGGTCAAGCTATCTTCTCACTGATAACAGAATGTATGACGTGGAATAATCAAGTCCAGCTGCCGCAAGCCAGACTCAGGCTAGATATCAGGAAAAGCTTCCTCACGGTCAGAGCGATAGGACAGTGGGACCAGCTGCCTGGGGAGGTGGGGGGCTCTCCCACACTGGGGACATTTAAGAAGAAACTGGGCAGCCACCTGAGTGGGGTGGTGTGACTTAGTGTCCTGCAACAGCAGGGGGTTGGACCCGATGGCCTTCAGGGCCCCTTCCAACTCTAGAATTCACGATTCTACGATTCTATGCTCCAAACAGTGCTTTGACCCTTGGGGACTAGTGAAAAACCAAACAATTGCACAGAATAACCTGAAAGAATCAACATTTGTTGGAAGGTGCAGTGTCAGAGAATTGTATGATGCCCTTCCACAGAATGCAAAACTGACATTACTATTTTTATCTTTGCTGCCAAACCGGTCCACGGTCTAGTGGATTTTGGAGCAACATCCGCAGGCCTAAACTGCTCAAATCGTGCAGGGAGTTCTGCTCTGTACCGACAGTGACCAAAAATGGTCAAAAACGGAGAAAGATAATTCTCTCTGCTTCTTCCCACCCCATGCCAGGATCCCGCAATATCCTGGTGGATTAAGACAACACTTACAATGTTTTATAACCTTTGCACTGCTTAGAAGACCCATTGAGTTTCATGGAGCTTACTCCTAAGTAAGATGTGAAACTGATTTCATTCACACACAAACACACCCACTTTGAAAATAATGCCCACTGCCAACCTGGTTCCCTGCAGATATTGGAGCCCCAACTTCTATCAGCCCCAGCCAGCAAGTGCAATGGTCACAGGCTATGAAAGCTATAGACTAAAACTTAGTTACCAGGTTGCCCTGGGGAGACACAGATTATGTACAGCCTTGCAAAGTTACTAGTCCTCTAAAAGGCCTACCGGCCTGTATGCATACATATTTATCATTGTAGGGTTTTAAAAGCCACCAGAAAATGCTTCAGTTTGATACTGCCAATGGATTTTCATTGAGTTTGCCAAGTTAAAAAAAAATGCTTTGCACCAGGCTGTCCTTAATGGCTCTTAGTCAATTGACTGGGCACTGTTCCCCAGGGCTTCAAGCAGGGAGCACCAGGGTGTTCCTGTTGGAGATAGACTGCCCTAGAGGGTGGAGGATCTGGCTCTTTCCTGTTCCCAGGCTTAAAACTTTTTTCCAGACCTCCTCCTTTCAGGCCTTCCAATTCTTGACAACCTTCTGAAAAATTAAGGTGCCCAGAATGAGATGCCATAACCAGACTTAACTTTTGCATTTCCGGAAAGCTCTTCTGGAAAACCAGATTCTGGGGACCAGGGCAGCAACTAGGCTATTCTGTCATGAAAATCCTGTATTTTGAAATGGCGTTTTTTGAACATGGGAGACAAGGTTTTGTTTATTAAGGTCAGCCAATGAAGAATGCACTAACTACTCCTAAAAAGCAAGGCTGGGGTGTTGTTTCTTCTTCTCCTTTTTAGATTATAGCGTGCTACACAACTTTGGCCTGTTTTAGCCTTAAATTTTTAACACAAGTGATAATAAAGAATTAATTCCATTAGATGACATAACTTTATGTCCCAAGATATGAATTCTGGAGACAAAAAGGACAACCATTCTTTCCATCCATCAATGAACCGTGATTTATGCCTTCCATCTTACAGGCATAAACACTGTTCTGATTTAGGAGCAAAGTCTGGATTATATGACAGGATGCAAAAATGAACACACAAAAAACTGTAGAAAGTGTGGTTGCAATCCCGTGCAGCCCATTACCTGGGAGAAAACTCCACCAAACACAATGGCTTTCCAATAAACCTGCAGTTTCTCTGTGCCCCGTGGCTTGAAGGAGAGGAGCAGGGCCAGTCTTAACTGCATTTACTCAGAAGTAGGCCTTACACTGTGTGCATTTGGGTGTACTCCCAGGTCAGCAGGTGTAGGCCTTTAATCCAATCAAAGCTTTTAGTGGGTTGCAAGAGCAGGAAAGGGCAAAATTAAAGTGGAAAGTTCACCAAAAACAGTCTTTATGTTTGCAACAAATAGATGCTTGCAAAAGGAACAGCAGCAAAAGAAAAAGGCAGACCAGCCTGGTACAAAAGGACATGCAAACGATGTGCTAGAATTCTGCCCACCCTTGCAACCCCCACACCTTCCCAGAAATGAAATTATTTCAGTGAAAGCAGCTGTTTAAAATTCTCCCCATTTTTTAATTGCAAATAGATTTGTCTGTTTAGCTCTTCTCTTTTTCTTCTCCTTCCCCCTAAAGATGGATGCTTGTCTTCTTCGACTTTTGGGGAGAAGAGAAAAACACCATATTATAACTTTACGTTTTTGTCATGGCTATTCCCCCTCCACCCCCACCCTCAGATTCCCCATCACCAGAAACATGCAATTTCTTGTTCCTGAAAACCTCCTTGGATGGAAGAGGCATTAATAATAATGGACCAAAGAAACAGGGGCTCATAGCCATCTTAATGATCAACTCTATGGCTCATTTCGTCCCTTTCTGCAAGCTGAGCTTGCTTCCCCTTCTGGACCCAAGGGGAGAGGAGCGCATGGGGGCCCCGCTCTGTGGGGAGGCCAATGCCGCTCCGGGGGACCGCGCGCCCTTCACGCCGGGGCTCCAAGGCACGGGCTGCAAGGCTCCTTCCCCGCGTGTTCGCACCTGGCCACGCCGCCCGCGAGCGGAGGGCGGCCGCGCCCCGCGCCGGACCGTGCGCCCCGCGCCAGGCCGTGCGCCCCGCGGACGCGGCGGGCTTACCTTGGCGCCGCCGGCCGCGGCCCGGCGGAGGCTATGCGCGCAGCGCGCCTGGCAGCGCGAGGTGTCGCCCAGGTCGGCGGCCAGGGGGTCGCGCCCTGCGGGCGAGGGGGCGGCCAGCGCCGCGGCCAGGGCCGGCAGCAGCAGCAGCAGCGGCCGCAGGAGCGGCGCGGGGACGGCGCGGGCCATGGTGCGCCCTATTCGGGCTGAGCCGGGCGGAGGAGGAGGAGGAGGGCAGGGGGTTGCAGGAGCGGCGAGGCAAGGCGGTGGCCGGGGGGCTGCTGCCGGGCGCTGAGCGAGAGAGAGGTGCCGGAGCGCACGGGAGTGCGAGCGCGACGCGTCCGTTCGGCGGCGGCTCAGGAAGAACGCTGCCGGGGCTCGTGCGCGGAGGACGCCGGGGCGCAAGGCGGAAAGGGCGAGGGGCGGCAATTGGATGCGGCGGAGGTTAAGAGCGGCTGGGGGAGGTGCCGGGGCGGGAGGGCGCCTGATTAAAGGGAAAGCGCTTCCGGGACTCCCGCAGGAGAGGTGCCGCGGTGCCAGCGGGAAGGGTCAGGCGGGAGAGGGCCACCGAAGGACTCCCGGAGGGAGGCATAGCAAAGATAGGTGCTGGAGCCCAAGAATGGAGGGGGTGTGCGGGGAATGAACGCGGCTGTGGCAGAGACGAGGAAGGGAAGGCCACGAGGAGGCGAAATGGCTGTGAAAGATAGGTGCTGGGGCTCAGAGGAAAGCCTCTGGAAAAACCAGTACCACCTTAAGCGTCAGCAACAGGCGCATGACAGTTTTGGGGATGTGGCGAGAGAATGCAAGCATGTGGGTGTTGCATCCTGACAAAGAGGTCCTGGGGCTCAGGACAACGGAATCCAGAGCAGGCTGGGGAGGAGATAAGTTCAGTCTGAAGGGCTCCTTCATGGCCACGTGCCATGCCTGTGTGGACACAGGGGGCCTTGCATCTGGACCTCTGGACATGCTCAGAGGCTCCTGGAAAATGGCATCACTAATTTGCTGCCACGCCTCAGGAGCCCTAAACCTTTTCGACCCTCAGTTGCATCTTTGATTCAATACTCCCAGTTGTGGGAAATTCTCTTTGGGCGCAAATAATCAGCAGCTTTACGAAGGAGAACCGTCTTCTTGGCAAGCCTTGGGTGATCCAGGGACCGGTGTCCTTCCAGGCAGGAGCCGGCAGCAGTCTGGAAGGCCCCTTGTCGAGTCTGGGCCAAGGACTGGTGTCCTCCACACTCATGGCAAGCAGGGCCCATCCCCAGCAAGGCCCCGTGACCAGGGCGCTCAGAAGGCGCTTGGCGCAGGGTGGGCTGCAGGGGCCGCAGAGAGGCAGCAAGGCAGGGCGCGGCGTGGCAAGACACGGGGCGATTCAGCGACATCCACGAACTGGACCCAGCAGAACAATTGCCCTGCAGGGAAGGGTTTGCGTACCCTTCCTCTGGGGCACCCAGACCCAGGAGACTCAAAGCTGCAACTCCTACAGTGCCATGCCTATTCTGGTCACCAGGTGGCGCCCCAGAGCAGACCAGAGCCTAACAGGGTGGGGGGGTGTCATGTGGTCAAGCCATGCAGAGCTCACAAACCAGCCACAAACCATGGGTTGTCTACATGGGTTGTTCCTGCTTAGCAAGCCGCAGTTTCTTGCTTCAGCTGGGTTCAGACTCCCCAGGAATTGTATAGCTACCCCTGGCTCAACAGCTCTTGAGAGTGAGTTAGGGTGTTGTCTGAACCCAGAGAATGGAGCTAGGAAGAGAGAGCAAACAAGGTGCCAGAGGAAGAGAAGAGGGACCAGGAAGGACAGAAGGAAGGCAGGCAGCGGAGAGGGGTGAGGGTGAAAGAGGGAGAGAAGGAAGAAGGGAAAGGGGCTTAAGAGGCCAGTTGGGTCAAACTCGGTCTGTTCAGCAAAGGAAGCTCGGCTGCAAGAGAAAGGTTTGGCTCACGGGTGCCTGGGAAGGCTGCACTGGAGTGGCGGACTGACATTCCAGCTTCGGGAACACATTAGTGGAAACATGGAGCCATTTGGGATATGTTTCCCGATGGAAAAATTCTGCCCTTCCCCAGCTCACGGCCGCAGTTTGAATCCGGGGTCTCTGGCCTCCAGATCCGACATTCCTCAGTGGGACAGGAGTTGCGCTTCCGACTGGCCGTTGGTGATGTCACACCTGTGCTGACCATGTGCGCCAGGTGCATGGCTTTCCTGCCGATTAGGTCACCCTGCTTGGCTTCCCCCTTCATTTTTCACCAGGCCTGTGACGCCGACTTGGCATCCTCGGCGCGCCTCATCCGTCTTCGGAGGCGGCGAAAGGGGCTTGCAAACGGTGGCATAATAGTCCAGGAATGCCGCACTGCAATCACGAACATCTGTTCGATTCGCCAACGGTTTTCCACGCCACGGGGTGGAAAGCAGCGGGGCGCCTCAGTGTTCCCGTCTAGGTCCCCAGCAGGCAGCCGGCCTGCCAAAACGCCAACCCTGCGGGGGGGCATGTCGGCCTCCCACGCTCTGGGCCACCCGGGTAGAATCCCGTCCACCCTTCATACATCCCTTGCTGCTGGAGACGCTGTTTAAATACCCAAGTCGTATTAATGGTGGCAAACTTTTGTTAATCATAATGAACAAAGATGCTTCTAGAAAATGATTATATTTGTTTCTCACCTTTTTTCCTCCAAGGGACCCAACAGTTGACCTTCACAAGAACCTTGTGAGGTAGGCCAGGAGTCCCTGACTGGCTCAGACTCACCTGGTGAGCTTCATGGCTGAACAGGGACTTGAACCCGGGTCTCCTGAGTCCAAGCTGTTGCTGAAAGTTAAGTACCTCTCCAGCTTTGGATGCCACACTGACCCTTGGCAGATTTAACAGAAGTATTTTTTGTATTTGAGTGTGTTTGGATGAGGAATTCCTGCAAAATTTCTAAAATCACGTATCCAGAAATTATAATATGCATATATTATGATGGGCTGATTATCTTCTGCCACCCGCAAGAGGAAGGAAGAGAAAACATACGTCCCCCAGTCTCTGTCCATGTCCTGCTCTTTCTCTGCTCTTTCTCCTTATTCATCCTGACTTGTCAAACTTTTAATGGGCCGTCTCCGTGCCCAACACCCCACCCGGGCCGATCCATTTAACAACATCCTCATTAATTTTTATGTCTGGCTGAGCAAAAATCATTAACCTTAATTGAACAATGCCAAAGACCTCAGGCAAACACGCCAACCGGGGGGTGGGGTGGGGGGGAGAGGAACGGAAGCAAGAGACAGCTTGGCCCGAGGAATAACTTTCTCCTCAGCAGTTTGCCTTTTGAGTGGTGATGTGTGTGTGTGTGTGTATTCTTTAATATATATACCCTGTTTTCCTGCAAATTTGGGGTTTGGAGAGCCATGACGATGTTCCAAAGAAGATGGCACTACTGTATTTGAATAAATGTAGATTTTAGTACATGAAAAAATAAGGCATCACCTGAAAATAAGCCCTAGTGTGTCTTTGGAGCAAAAATTAATATAACACCCGGTCTTATTTTCGGGGAAATATGGTGTGTGTGTGTAAAAGAAAAGGATTCCTTCAAAAAGATGTCCATAATATGGGGCATGATTGTCTTTCACCTCCGAGGCCGCATCCTGCTTCACAGAAGCGCTCCGGGCTGCATTCAGGAGTAGGCAGATCCAGGGTGGATCTGGATTTTATCTGTATTATTATTTGATTTATGTGAGCCGTCCCGAGGCTATGCGATGGGACGGCATACAAATGCTCTAATAAATAAATCAATAAATAAAACACCAGCTCTATCTTGGTGCAGCACTTGCAGTGCTCTTTGCTAAGCAGCAAACCTCCCAGAAAGGCAGTTTGTTCTTGGCACGTCCCTCCATCAAAGGTGGCCAAACGAGCTGGGGTATCCCCCAGTCCGATTCCTCTCCTCCCTCTTCTCAAAACTCCCAGAAGCCTCCAGGTGCGGGTGGAGTTTGGGAGGGTGCAAGGAGAGTGCCCGAGCCAGGATTAGGGCTGGGTCCTAGGATGACAGAGGTGTGGTGGAATGGACCTTTACCCCTTTTCCCTGCACAGCTCTCGAGGCTGGAACGGAGAATCCAACAGAGACACTGCGGGCCACCTCCACAGTCGTGGAGAATGCCCTGGTGTGCACACGGTTGGAAAAGCTGGTGAACATTGGAAAGGACCTGGAGCTGGGTAGGTGAAAGGAGGTACATTGCAAATCTGTAGCTTCCCCTGCACCCTACAACTCGCTAAGGCACCCCAGAACTGTGTGCAAAACAGTGTGTCCATAGAAGCCCCCACAGAGATGGGTGGTATCAAGGATCGGGAGATGTACTTGAGATTAAAGCTCTTGTTCAGCCAGCAACGAAACCTGAGGAGAAGCAAAGGGACTTTGCTAAATTAGAAATTTAGGGACTCCCAACCAGCCAGATTGGGATCCTGGGGTCAGAGGTTCCACACCTGCTTGAAATCTGTCATCGATACATCAGCCCTGCAAGGTAGGCCAGCCTCCTCTGAGTGGGTGGGACAACCGAGCCCACAGGCGGGGGAAGGTGCAGCTGTCTGCCACACTGGGACCAGCAAGTTCCAGCACATGTCCACCTTCGGAGCTGTCCCTTCATCCTGGCTGCTGCACCTCCTGGAAGATTAGCAGCTCTGTTTCAAATACTGTGGCCTCTTTCAGGAGGCCAAAGTGGGCAGGGGTGTGAATGACTTCATAGGGCCAAAGCCGAGAAAAGCGATTGCACTTCTAAATTTGGGGGTCAAATGAGTGGTCACCCATTGCCTCGTATGCGGTTCACCGCTAATTCGTAGGCCACCTTCCCCTAACTCCATTTGCAGTTTTGCCTCGATCTCCCGCTGGACACCCCTCTCAGAATGAGTATTTCGGAAACAGAAGGTGTGACCTACGCATCCTACGAGAGCCAGTGTGGTGTAGTGGTTAGAGCATGGGACTGGGACTCAGAGGATCTGGGTTCGAGTCCCCGCTCGGCCATGGAGCCAACTGGGTGGCTTTGGGCCAGTCACAGATGCTCAGCCCAGCCTACCTCACAGGGTTGTTGTTGTGGGGATAAGATGGAGGAGGAGAATGATGTAAGCCGCCTTGAGCCCTTTGTCGGAAAAAGGCAGGATATAAATCGGAAAATAAATAAATAAATCCTTCGGATCAACTCCATGGCAAACAGGGACCCCCTGTAAAGATGC